GGGCAACTAAAATGATCAGGGTCTGGAGAACAAGCCCTATGAGGAGCGGCTTAAGGAGCTGGGCATGTTTAGCCTGAAGAAGAGAAGGCTGAGAGGAGATATGATAGCCATGTATAAATATGTGAGATGAAGCCACAGGGAGGAGGGAGCAAGCTTGTTTTCTGCTTCCCTGGAGACTAGGACGCGGAACAATGGCTTCAAACTACAAGAGAGGAAATTCCATCTGAACATGAGGAAGAACTTCCTGACTGTGAGAGCCGTTCAGCAGTGGAACTCTCTGCCCCGGAGTGTGGTGGAGGCTCCTTCTTTGGAGCTTTTAAACAGAGGCTGGATGGCCATCTGTCAGGGGTGATTTGAATGCAATATTCCTGCTTCTTGGCAGGGGGTTGGACTGGATGGCCCATGAGGTCTCTTCCAATTGATTCTATGATTCTATGTTTGATATAGTATATGTGTATTAGAATATGGATGACTTTTACTGCAGAGAGGTTGTTTTCATAAAGGAGATCAATTTCACTCAAACACGACACACAATCAAGGAGTTTACAATACCAAGAAAAGATGGCTATTGCTGACATGCCAGCATGAATGCTATTTTCATATATTTCTCTGAAATTCAATATGAATGCACAATTGTAAGCTATGAAATTATTTTAATTGAGAGTCATCAGAGAGAATGCAATCTCAGTATCACTGCCATCTACTGATTTTACAGACAAACCCTGAGCAATGACAGAGTGCAAAGAGGGGCAACACACAAATCCCTATGCTTCCCAAATAATATAACATCCATACCAGAACACACAACGAAGCATTATCATACAATTACAGCCAAAGTAGTTTAATAACCTTATTACTATCAATGGGAGATATAGGAGCATATGATTAGCTCTCACAAAGAATTGAATTCTGTCTAAAATATACTTAACTTTAAGATAGATTGAACTGCTTGTACTTTGTTTATTTGGAGTATTTAAACCTCTCTTTTTACAACCTCATCTCTGATGGCACCTCACAAAAAGAACCACTCATTAAATCTAAAGAAAATGCAACCCAACAAAACTCTGCAATTAATTAGCTAAAAACAGCAAACAAAAGCAGAACTTAAATAGCCAAGTGTTGGCTCATTGGGAAAATTCTATGAAGATCATGTTATCTTGGGGAAACCAACTCCATAATGAGGGATCAAACAGTGGGTAATCATAACCCTTAAATCCAATTGCTGAACTCATTGGAGCAGTTGAATATATGTAAGTGTTGATTATCAGCAGCAGCTGACTCAACAGATTTACTGATCAGATTTGAGCTTTGGTTGCTCCTCCCTTGCTTCAGGGAATGAGAACATTTTCCATAGGGCTATGTCTATATTTTACAAAGTTAATTCTTACAAGTTAATAAATTAATAAATAACTTTATGCATAGAATCATAGAGTTAGAAGGGACGCCGTGGGCCATCCACTCCAACCCCATTCTGCCAAGAAGCAGGGAAATTGCATACAAAGCACCCCTGACAGATGGTCATCCAGCCTCTGTTTAAAAGTCTCCAAAGAAGGAGCCTATACCACACTTCAGGGCACAGAGTTCCACTGCTGAACAGTTCTCGCAATTATGAAGTTCTTCCTAATGTTCAGGTGGAATCTCTTTCCTGTAGTTGAAGCCATTGCTCCGTGTCCTAGTCTCCAGGGCAGCAGAAAACAAACTCCCTCCCTCCCTATGATTTCCCCTCACATATTTATACATGGCCATCATGTCTCCCCTCAGCCTTCTCTTCTGCAGGCTAAGCATGCCCAGATTTTCAAGCCGCTCCTCATAGGGCTTGTTCTCCAGATCCTTGATCATTTTAGTTGCCCTTCTCTAGACACTTTCCAGCTTGGAAATTGGACTCTGAAGTCTGGTGAGGTACTTTGAATTCTCTCTACCAAAAAGGTATATTTCGTAGTTGAAAGGAATGAAGTAGTTCTCAAATTCTAGTCTTCCAGATGTTTCGAACTTCAGTTCCCCAAATTCTCAATCACTGGGAAGACTAGTTTGGACTCTAGGAAGTTAAAGTCCAAACCCTTTGGAGAACCAGAATTACACAATCATTGCATCAGAGAAGTCTAAGTGCTTTAACAAACTAGAAATCCTAGGGATCCACAGAATGGTCCATGGCAGTTACATCAAACTTCTATAAATGTGCAATATGCAAACACCCATCATGGAACAAGGCTTGTACTTGGGGGAGCTTGGAATTGCTTAGATAGAGAGGGGGRAAAACAAGATGAGAACTCACTGCTAGTCACATGAAATGAGGTCAGAAAGAGAAGACACACACAGAGAGAACACGTGTGCCTTCTCCCCCCCCCACCCCCACCTTTTTCGGAGGCACGATATGATTTAGAGACAAAGTTTTCAGTAGAGACCTTGCAAGCCAATTGTACAGCTTGATGGTATCAGTGGGGAATCGCTCACAATTCTCCATGACAGAGCACTGTGGGGAWCAGTAAAGACCTGATGGCTCTGTGTGGCTTTAACAAAACTATACACAGAAACTGAACTTTTCCGATAGCTCTTTTATTTAATACAAAACCCTGCTCTATAAAATCTAGTGCAAGGAAGGTTGGGTGATCTAAAGACTAAGAGACCTCTCATCTATCCATGGTGCTGTTCAATGTTTCTCAACCCCAGCAGCATGTTTGAAAAACAGGAAAGCGAAAAGCAAACTCTGATGCTTCTTATTGACAAAAAAAGGATTGAAATGTCAGGATGGCTGCAGAAGTAATTTCTATTATAACCTTGTAGAAATGGAGTAGAATGGGAAGTGTGAGTGGCCTTGCAGATGTTTTCAGACAACAGCTCCCATCAAGTATTGCCTGGGCTGTGGCACAGCGAGTTAGTACATACAACACAATAGCCCACTTGTACACAAAAAGAAAAATAAACCAATTCAGCCAATAATGTGACAGTTGAACTTAAATCCGTAGTCCACGACCAGTTTCGGCCTCACTGTAGTATGTATGTGTGTGTGTGTGTGTGTGTGTGCCTGCAGCCACACCCTCATTCCAGCCCGATGGACTGTCACCTTGTCATGGTGAGGGCTTGCGTGTTCTGATGAACCTACAGGCACAACAACTGGAGTCGTACACTCCCAGGAGTGGCCGCGGGGGAGGTTCCAGACCAAGCACAGTCCGAAGACCCAAAGACCTCAACGGCGGAGCAGGCGGAGGATAACATGGCACATGTTACAACGGCTGCGAAGGCGGAAGAAGGCTGCAACAGACTGAGAAGCCACGGTCATTGTGTTAAACTACATCACCAGTGGAACCTCACTCTGTGAAGTCTGTGTGTTGATCAGTTGTGCACTGACCTCCACACATT